GGCAGATCACTCTCCCATCAGCTTTAGATTAACAAGGACTTCTCTAAACTGTTTTCCTCCACAGTGACACCAACTTGGTTCAAACAACTTCCACACCTTGTATCACTGCAACAGACTGCCCCAAACTGGTGTTTTACATCAGCAAAGCCAGTAACAAATCTGTTGCTGCCAGGATTACCCAACTCACCTCAAACCTCCACCATGCAGCAGTTCAGACTCCTGCATCCCCACAACTCGCGCTAGCTCCCTGTGTTTGTGTGGTAAGAACTTTATTTGGCCCTTGCTATGCCAGGAGCCTTCACTTTGCCACAGAATGTAAAAGAGGTAAGCTTAAGCCAAGAGAAAGCCCTGGAAGAAGGGAAGATTCAGATCTTGCTCAGACAGTGCTCTCACATGTAGATTACTGAGGCCACACCATTACTTACACTGTAACCCAAACTTAATGACAATACTTGACCTCTTTGGTCTTTAGGAGCTTTGTTGACAGTCACAGCCAGAGGACCCTAGAGCTGTTTCCTATCAGTGGAACATCCCAAAGTAGGAAAAAAGAGATGCTGGGATTTGAGCAAAGAGGAAGGAACACAAGTTCTTACAGCTAGTAGTCAAAACAGATGACAATAAATCAGGAAAGTAGAAAGCACTTCTATTGCCACACACTGCTGGAAGATGTAAAACAACAACTACTCTTAAGGCACGAGTTCATGTCAAACAGCACTTCACATTATTTGCTATGTGCATGCTAAAAATTCACATCACTGGCAGCTGGACTGGAGGAGAGTTAAATCCCCTCAAGAAGTTTCAAGTACCTACAACCCCTTCTAGTAGGGCTGTTAACAACTTCAGTCCCCTAGCCCTTCAAGCACTGTGCCACCTCTCAGAATTTCTTGACACACCTCAGTTCTGAGCAGCAAGTGTTTACTCCAGCACTACAGCTTGCCCCTGAGGGAAGCAGCGCCAGGTCATGCAGCACCTGCCATCCAGTGGATTTACCTGTGATGGAGACACCAAACCTAAACTCTGCAACTTCAGGCAACTCCCAAGAACCCTGTGGAGACAGATGAATAAGAACCACCCACATAACTGTTCCACAGTTTTTTCAAGTGTATTTTTCTAAGCTCCCTTGTAAGTATGAGGGAGGAAATTGGTGCAGGACCTCTTCTCCCCCTAGAAGAAAAAAAGGTGTTCAAGCCAAAAATCTCCACAGAAGCATGGCCAGCCCTACCAAACTGTAAATAACCCAAACCAAATCAGAACAAACAAGAACACAAAGCCAAAAAAACCCAAAAACCAAAACCAAACCACTACCAAAAAAGAAACAAAATCAAACCACTCTCACTAGAAAAACCAAACACTCTGCATTATCTCTAAAACAACATCTTGAATTCCTATGATTAAAGGAACATCTCAGAAAAAATCTTTTTGGACAACAGAGTCTGTGATAGAGAGGAAAAAGAAAACAATATTTCAGAATTCAGAAACTAGAATATAAACCCAACTTCATTATTAAAAACTGTTATGGAAGTTGGCAATGGTGTTTTAAGCATACATAGTTAGAGCAGCCCTGTCAAGACACTGCATTTCTAAGGGCACATACCTGTTCACACGTGGTTTGTAAGTAGGAAATTGAAGTCATAAAAAGAGGGAAAAGGAATTTATGCAATGGCTCTGCACCTTACCTAGAAGGTGACAAGCTCCTTGCTGTAATCCAGAGAAACATCACTGCCTTCTTAGATAATAAAAAGAAACAAACAAGGCTTACAGGAACCCTTAGTATCAGTCCAGCACCGCTAACTCCCAGATTACTATGATTGAACTGAGAATGCTTTGAAAATTAACGAACGGTTTGAGTCGGAAGGGACCTCAAAGATCATCTAGGTCCAACCTCCCTGCCATGGGCAGGGACACCTCCCACTAGAACAGGTTGCTCAGAGCCCCATCCAACCTGGCCTTGAACACTTCCAGGGATGGGGCTTCCCTGGGCAACCTGTGCCAATATCTTACTATCCTCACACTAATAAATTTCTTCCTAACGTCTAACACTTCCGTTGCTAACAACTGCCTCTTTTCCCTCAATACACATTCATATCTGTTTTGGAAGAGTCTGGTCCATTCTCTTTTTCCAATCTCATCTCCAGCAAACACCATCTATCAAATACGTTGCTAGTCCTGGGTCACCAGCCTTTTAGTCAAATGCTGTTCTTTGCTTAAATACAAGGAAGAGCTGCAAGTGTCTCTACAATATATAAAGCAACATACCATGCACTGAGATGATCACATGGACAAAGCAGACACATGAAGTTTCCTGTACAGAACTTCTTGTTGCAGGAAGAGTCCATCAACAATAAAAACCTCAGGAGAAACTTAACTGAGCTCCACACAGTTGAAAAGGATGAAATGCCAGGTTGCTTCCCAACTGGGGGGATGCAGGCATCAGCATCAGATAATACTAGGCTAAAAGAGGCAGAAGCTGCACCCTTCCACATCACCTTGAACCCTGGTATAGTTTAATGTTTTTACACCAGTGTTACCCACCTAGAAGTCTTTCTGGAGAGGGGCAGCACCCCCTCTAGTCGCAGACCTCTTCCTGAAGGCTAAGAGCTGGTCTGTAGGCCAACCACACAAACTGTTGTATGGAAGCAAGGAGTAAGTTCTCTCCTGAGTGGCTGAAGCCTGTTTTTTAGTGGCAGCAGACCATGGGAAGAGGTTTCCCTCACCACATTCTAAACTGAGACAAGAAGATGAATCAAGGACCAAAGGCAGCAGCAGCTTCAACAATTGTTGTGGTGCATAAGAAGCAGTTACAGCTGCTTATAGTCAAGAAGTGCACTTTTATAACAGAACTATACTAAAGGTCAAAAAGTGTCTGCCTCTAACAACTGGGCAAGAAAATAATGGAGGGGGAAAAAAAAAAGAAAAGAAAAAAAAAAAAGAGCAGGCAGCATTACCAGCACCTCCAGCACTGGTTTCCTGCTGGGTTGCAGCCCCAGTGCCAAGGGCAGCAGCAGGCACTGCCACAGGAGAGGAGGTGCCCAGCCTGCAGTCCCATCAGGCAGCACTTCCCCTCCCACCACCAGCAGTTACAGCAGGGGATTGCACAGGGGCTAAGTGGGTGACAAAAACATTGTTTGCTTTGTGGAGGAGCGTTGGCACCAAAGGGTGTGCACATTCTCTCAAGTTACCAGGGCGAACGACTGATCTACAGCAACCTTGCCTGTCTAGGAAGACTACACTCAGTTCCTTAATGCAGATGGTAAACAGCACTAAATAGCAACACAGGTAAGAGAAGAGCAAAAGCAGGAAACTGCCAACAAATGACCTTTTTACAAAGCAGGATATCTGAAGTCACTTTATGCAAATTCAATGCCTGGTTCCCCTGTTCAGTGATCAATTCGGGACTTGCTCCCACTCCCTGGACCATGAAAGGCCATTTCCCTCACCCCCATGAGGTGCCCACAGTTGCACAGTGTGAATTCCCTTCCTTGCCCCAGCAGCAAACATTTTAAGAGGGCAACCAGCCTGAACTGTACAGGTCACACCAGGCGAGAAATCCTTCTGCACAGGCTTCACTAAGATTTCAGGCTCATTGCCAACCTCATGAGCTACATCAATCCAGCACCCCCATCACGAGGTTACTGGTCTTAAATATCTCTGGCCGGAAGTGTAAGAGCTTGCTGGAGGCCTTCTGCGTGTGTCAAGTGCTCTTCATTCCCCTCTTGTGCACTGATAATATTTCACACCTTTAAGTGAGTGTGGTGACAGAAACAGAGTTGCAACTAGAATGTTCTGCCACACATTAGTGCATGCAATCTGTCCCAAGTACCATGGCATTTAATTCAGAAAGCATAAACAAGTTTTTCATGCTTGAGATTGAAAAGGATACCACCAGCACAGGTTAGAGACAGACAGCCTCTAGCTATTGACATGACTAAAGACAACAGAATCCCTTAAAAAATGTAAAGTGTGCATGTCTTTTTCACCCTTCATACAAATGCCACCATGCAAAGCAATATTTCCATGAAAAAGCAGCTCCAGTTTAGATGAACAGGGGAAAAAACCCAATGCAGTGACATTGTTTTATTAGATGGAGTAATTAAAAATCCAAGTTTAAAAAAAACAAAACTAAAAGCAAACATGAAGTCATCATCAAGTTTTCTGTTTTATTTAAGATTTTAGTTTTAATTCTGAAGAAAGAGGTACATTTCCTTGGTTTTAGTTTTAGCATCAGGTTATAACCATGTTTATTTATCTGTTTCTTTTTTCCTGTCTTTTCAATACTGCACAAACGTCCAGAAACTACAGGGTTAAGTAAAAGCTGCAGGCAGAGGAGGTCAGAGGTTGCTCCTGATGGTGATCATGTGGCCCCAATGCAGTGCTATCCCAGAGTGCCTTATTCAGGTGAATCTGGTGTGTTTTGTTTTTTTTTAATTAAAAAAAAAAAAGAAAGAGAGACTAACAGAGGAGACAGAAAGGCTGAAGTAAATATCACTCGTGTTCCAGCTGCTTATACTTATATTATGTATACGCTAGGTATTAAATCTGTGAATACTTTTAAAACATTAAAGTTTACTTTAAATCTAAAGCCAAAATTAAAGAAAAATCTTATTCTCCCCTCTTTAAACCACTCTTTAGCAACATGCCAGTTACTCATAGCTGTAAGTGTTTTTTTGTCTTTCAACACACTTCATGTCAAACTCTGACAAAATAAAATCCTCTTCTCAAATAAAAAAACAAAACCAACATAGCAATTTCCCTGTGTAGTGCCACACTGAATGCAAAATAAATGCTAGGCCACTGCTTGCCCCACATGTTCAGTAACTTCATTTAAATTAAATACCTTTTTCATGTTTCTGCATTTGATTCTGCATTGCATTTTTTCTCCTACTGCAGATTGACACATTTCCACTAGGCAGAAATACTCATGTGCAAAAGACATAAGACAGTAATATTCTCCTTAAGCATTGAGACTGCATTTTGATCTCTCTCTCTTTTTTTTTTTTCTCTCCGTAGAATGCTTAGAAAATATTTCAGTGTATTTCAAACACTGGCTCAGCAGAAACTTAACTAAAAGAGACAGTCATGACCCTGTGATGGCATTGCATCTGGGGGGGAGGTTTGATCAGGAACTGGATTCTTCAGAAAGAAAGATATGACAGGGAACAGTAGGTGGGCATGGGGAGGAGTCAGGGTGGGACACTTCCTGCATTTCTAACGTTTTGGGTTTTATTTTTCTTTTTTTTTCTTTTCCTCCTTTCCTAATGACGATCCAGTGCTGAGCTCTGTAGTAGATCTGTGGGGGTTTTACTGGGGGGTCTGAAGGCTGTCTGAAAGCCTGGAGGTGGGGAATGGAAGCTGGTGGGGTTTGAAGGAGGAGAGTAGGGATTCCAACTGGCTCTGTGCAGAGGGATCTGTGTGCCGAAGGGGTTACTGTGGTGCGTCTGTGATGGTGCTGCACTGGGGCCGTCCACCTCTGTGAGGGCCTGAAGAGATTTTAGCCAATGTGGAGGATTGTCATCTTGAAGGGTGTCTAAACTGTTTCCTGTGGATGCTGGGATACCTACAAAGAGAAGAAAAAAAAAACAAGGATACAAGCATGTCAGAGCAGGTGCAAAAAGCTGAGCACGAAGGAGGTCAATTTAACCTAACAAAAAGCAACAGTGAAAAAACATGATTAGTTTGTACAGAGAATGCATTTTACATTATTACATATAAATACCCGGCCTGCAAAACATTTAGCATTAAATCCAGACAGGAGAAAGTTCCCCCTCAGAGCACTTCTTTGTAAAACACATTTTTCTCTCAAACATCCTGTGCAAGGACTGCACCTCTGTTGACAGTGACCTTACCAAACCAAACCACCAGAACACTGCATGCTTCACCTCCTCCTCTGCCTACTTGAATCATGCTTCAGCCTCTCTAACAGGGAAACACAACCAGACAGCCTTATAAAAGAGAGCTTTATAAACAAGTGGAGTATGTCCCTTTTTAAATAACAAAGTCTAGTGAATGCTTTCAGTGCCTGAGGACCAGCGGCGCACACACCGGACATGCCACCCAGCAGGAGGGACACCTACGTTGACCCTATAGATAAGCACTGATCCACCTCTGACTGCCTGTGAAGGTCCTGGGCATGCATTGCAAAGGCCCCAGTGACATTTTGTTACACCTAGCAGTTCCACAAAAATTCCTGGACCCTTGAGGTTTTGTGGATGGAAGCTGGAAGAGACCACCGCATACTGACTTTTTCTTTTTTTTTTTTCCAGAGGTAAATCAGTTTGTGCCAAATACCCATTGGATGGTTTGCCAGCGGAGCTGAAGGAGTGAGAAACGGTTACCTGTGATGATTGCGGGGTCCATCCAGCTGCCAGGGCTGTCCCAACTCAGGCTGTCGGTGGTGGCAGGGTTGGACGTTGGTACACTGTGGTTGGCGTTGGAGGGGGAAGAAGCATTGGGCAGTCCACCAAAGTTGATGTTAATGTTCGGTAGAAGTGCCCTTAGCCCGTCCTGCCATTCCTTCATATTTAAACTCTCTACAGAACTGCTGTTGTCTGGGAGATTTACCAACAAAAAAAAATGAAAGATAAAAAAAATAAAAAGCTGAAGTTAGAAACAGATGTCCTTCTTCGGTGGGGTATGGGATTTTGTTTTTACTTTTTCAAAGTTAAGCATTTAATACTTTCCTTGTGCAAAAATTAGGGTCAATGTTTGTATGATTGATTAATTACTCAGAGAGGCTGGCAGGTTTTAAACCAAGTGTATGAGGGTGGGAGAAAGATTTAACTCCTCCCCCAATTTAGATCTCCCCCTTTTTTTTTTTTTCCAGTTCAGAGACTCAAAATAATCAAAAGGGCACAGTGGCTTCCCCTCTACTAGTAATAGGGGAAAACCAACCAGATCCTTTATGAGAATACCTCTGGTGCAAGCTAGATAACTTGATTAGGCTGTTTTATTAATGGGCAGGAAGATAAAAATGGTTGTTTTCTTTGAAGTATATTAAAATGAAGAAAGGCTAGGTAGGGCTTTGCAATAGAAACCGAACATCAGGAACCAGGGAGGTGGAAGAGGAGTATCACAGAAGTTTTTTGTTTTGTTACAGCTTGCTTATTTACAGCCTTACAGATGTTCTTCTGAAGGAAATGGTAATTCTCATGAAGTTGAAGGGAGTGCAATTTCCTCTTGAAGATGAAGAACAGCAGTGAAAATTCTTTAGAGACCTTTCAGAATAACTCCCAACACAGCAACATCCTCAAAACTTTGGTTAGAATCAAACCAGCTTGACACCAAAACAGTCAAGTCTCCAACTATTTGCCTAAATGTTTTGGGGCAGGTACTGAAAAGCACAAAGGATAACGTGGCTACACTAATGATTCCTGAACACAAACCTTAATCCATGCTATCTAAGAACAGACTATGAGGTTCTATGATCTGTCTTTAACTTGACAGAGTTAGGTTAATGCTTGGCGGAATTAGGTTATGGTTGGACTTGATCATCTTAAAGGTCTTTTCCAAGCGGAACGATTCCATGATTCTGTGATTTCATGCTTTAGGTATCTCAAATCAAATATGAGCATCCTAGTATTTATCAGACAATAAAGAAAATGATAATAAAATTGTGGTCAAATATATTTGAAAAGCAAGTGTTGGGCAGTACATTGGCAGTATGCTTTTTTTGCAAAAAACCTAGAATATAACTTTTTTCTTTTTTAACCACCTCTACTTGTCCTTCTTAAAGAAAGAACCTTCATTGCACTCAGAAGTGCTACAGTGAGATACCTACATAATATTGCTACTTCATCAACAATGGAAGATATTTAAGTCTTCATGGAAAATTAAGAGGATATCACTAACTTGCAACTCTGCATGTTGGACAGAGAAGAAAGTAGTCTCACTTGCTATCAAAACCTGCCTCAGCAATTCTTGTAAAGCTGAATGCTCAGAAAGAACTGATGTCTCAAGCAATTACCTTTTTGTAACTGGAGGGGGAAAAAAAGCAAGTTCTTGAAATTCTGTGCTTTCATGCAGAGCTTTCCTTCCCCAGACCAGAGGGTTTTTTAGAATAAACTTTATAAAAGATTCTATTTCTGTATAGAACTACAGCAAGCAACTTCAATCACAAACCACAGGAAATCACACCTCAGTCCATGTCTTCAAAACAAATGACTATGCAAATCTGCTTTATCCACTTTGCCTATCATGACTGCTGGAGCAATGCATTCATTTCTAACCCCATGCATACCTAACGCAGCTATTCTCACACAAGCACCCATCTGCATGCATAAATGTCCCATGTAGCAGGACAGCAGCTGACACCTAGAATGTCTGTGGCCAGAGCGATGTTGCACATGAAGCCTGGACAGGAATAATAGCACAGATATAAAGAGGGTACTACAGAAATCATCCTCTGCCTGAGCAAGTTTGCAGAATACATTTGACCACACACTATGGACAGTTTACAGTCAACTGCTGTGCTCCCTACTCACTGGCTGAGGCTGGGGAATCACTCTTCCTCAGAGGTTAGGTTACAGCATGAGATACACCTCCACAGTGAAAACAGGCAACTCCTAAGCATTCCCATAAACAAAGGGAAGACAGGGCAAAAAATCAGGTAGTGAAAGTAACCCCAAAAGCCTGCCCCCTACTACTACAGGCATCTAAGGATTAAAATTTTAAGTGCTATGGGAGGAAAAAAAAATAGCAGTAACAGAACTGAAGCTCTCCCTCAAGCCAGTAAACCAAGACCAGCTTTTTAGTAACACTGTAGCATATGGATGCAATCCAGCCTCTGGATTTAAGTGTGACTGTATCCACACACTGTGCAGCAACGTGACCTGTGTACAAGTCACCTCAGGTGAAAAAAAAAAAAAAAAGCAGGCTTATTGGCCAGCATCAAGCCATAGTGCCATAAAACTGGCTTTCACTTCTACTTTGAGTTCCTGTACTGTAAATCAAATCTACCTCCTGCTCCCTCCAGAGTTCCAGCTTTTTTCTTTGCAATACCAACACACACAAACAGCTTTGAAGAGTTTGGTGTAATACATTTTTCACCCAAACCTACGATCCTGGGGTTAAGAAAAAAAATTAAAACTTTAAAAAGCATTAGTCAGAAATGTCTTAGATATGGTATTTGCTCACAACCTTCTTGAACATCCATAAGCCTATTTAATACAAGTTCTAATTCTATTTTTTGGCACCTGAGTACCCAACTCACCATCACAGAAATAACTGTGCAACAGATTCCACAAAGTACACCATTACTTTCACTTTATTTTCTCACCTCTGCTTCCCACAGCTTGTGCCAGAAACACAGCTCAGTTTATCATAGAATAGAATAATTTAATAACTTGCTTCTACTACAAGGCAAAAAAGTACACACAAGATACTTATTAGGACCACACAGTAGTAAACATACTCATTGCAATACTTGTGAGCTGGGGATCTGCAAGCTTATGACAATCCTTGTAATGGACGTTACTAACTCCCAACATGCCCTCAAAGTTCACGTACAAGAAATTAAATGTGCAGTAAACTGCACACCTGTAACATGTCATTAAGTCTAATTAAGACACAGCTAGCAAGATGTCATACTTCTGAAGAATGAGATAGGAAGATAAAAGTAGTAGGGTTTTAGGCCACCGTGGGCTAAGAAAATACACATTTTTGCCATGTTATTCTCCATTTTAAAAAGACTTAATACAGCACATATAAGAGTCCAGTAAGATAGCAAGTGGTTGAGATACAAGACTATCATGGAATAGAAAAGGCTGGCACTGTTTGGTGAGGAGACATTAATCTGTGAGGCAGGCACAGTGCACCATTGCCATGCACCCTCTAACACAGAACAAGAGAAAATAAGAGGAAACTGAGGAGGACTGTTCTTTATCTCAACTGTCAGTACAAAATCCACTTAGAATCACAGAAGTCAAAGAGACAAAAGGCCTATAATGATTCAGTATCTATTAAAACTGTGCTGTTTGCTAGCAATAAGGAATTTATTTATTAAAATCTTGTGCTCCTGGGTACAAAAGCGACAAAACAGAGAATTCCGTAAGATTTATTGTCTTGCCCTAGCGGCTGGGTTTGTGAGGCTAAAAGGCAAGCTATGACAAAAACACTGGCCTCTGACACCAAAGAAAAAGCAAGCAACACATTACTTGTGTGACTGTAACAAGGTTTTCCAGCTGGCTAATAAATACCCAGAGGAAAAAAAAACCAAACAAACAACAAAACAACCACAACTCCAGAGTTTTACAGGTTTGTCACGACTCTCAGCGCTTAAGGAGAAATACTGCAATTAAATTATTCTTGTAATATGGGATCTGGTAAGGGATTAAAATGCATTTAGGTGTTAAAACAGATGGGATCAAGAGAGAATACAACACAACACTCCCTGCACTGCCCTCTGGGGCCTGTGACTGGATATGATAGGTAAGCCACCCTGTCAGAAAAATTCCTGATGCAACCCAAGTATGCAAGCAATCTGCAGGCACCACACAGCAACACCCAAACCAATCAACCAAATCAGTGTGTCTTTGCTGGAATCTGACAAGTTTGAAACAAGAGCCTAAGTGAGAATACACATCCACCCCAGAGACCAGAGTTACTTCCACCACCTGAAGAAAGCAAGTATCTTCAGGAGACACTACCACCCATCCCTTGGATAGTTAAGTCTTTTTTCTTACTTGAGTTCATGCTTCACCATGAAACTAGTACTACAATTAAAAATTATAAAAGGTTAACTCTCAGTTAATAAAGATCTATTAAAAGGTATAAAACAAGTTAAAACCCAGTTGACTGCAATGGATGAAAAAAATTTAAACACCAAGATAAATGGGACATTCCTCCCATCATGCTCCAACTTTGACTGTGAAAGGAGAGAATAACCTGGTGAAGCTTCACTGAAAGCACCACTATTCATATGAAAACTAGGCTCAAATGCATATCCTGAACTTCTGTCTTCCCTTAATGTGCATTTCATAATCCTATCTGGTCTAGTGGAAACTTGTGTTTACAGAGGTGAACAGATCCCACAGTTCTAGCACTGAACTTTTTCATGTGCCTGGGGTAGTATGTCAACATAAAGTAAAAGCATTTGTACGTAAAAATTTAAGTCAACTGCCGTCTTAAAGTAAGCAAAGGGAAGAAAAAAACAAACCTTCATCACAAACATCCTGCCCACCTGATTTAAATAAAAAATACTTAAAAGTTAGCTTAAAAATGAATAGGATTGAGAAGCCTGGACATTCATCTGTAGGAAAGAAACAGTCATTTAATGGATGTCTAAATAAAATTCTTGCCCCATCATGACATCCTACCAGACAGTCTGGTAGTGTTACTTCCACATCCTCTACTTGCAACGCCTTACACACGATTCCTTCAAATCAGGCACAGTAAATGTGTATCTGGGGGAGAGATGGCTAAGAAGATGATGGCCAAGCCAGAAATACTGTTCTCTTGAACATATTCAATACTTCAGAAGACATTTGCACAAGTGTCAGCTGCATTGACACGGGCTGTTCCGTGACAAATTCTGACACCACCACAACGTAGA